ATCTTAGCCTCTTCCATCTTAGCCTCTTCCATCTTCGCCTCTGCCATGCTCGCCTCTAGTAGTAGAAGTAGTAGTAGTAATGCTGGTGATAGTGAAAGTGATGACAGTTGTGGTATTGGTGATAGTATTTGATGGTAGTGGTAGTAGTAGAAGTACTGTTTAGGGTTGGTATTTCTATTCTATAGATTCTTTTAGATTTATTGATGAGACATTAAATATAAGTTTTGACGACGCATATATTCAGCAGACGTTTTGAAGCACGTGTCTGCACGTCGCCTTGGCATATATCCCCCCACACTTGTTCGAATCCTTTGTGCTTTCATGTTAGAAGCACATATACATTTATTATTTTTAAAATTTGACATATTCTAACCTGAATTAAAGTGATAGTGCCACAGTTAGGAAGCCGTTGAAGAAGCTACATCAAGTGAAAATAACGAATATATTTTCACCACATTATCAGCACATTCAAATCCGTTCCGAGCATGCGTAATTAATAGAATGATGGACACCGCATGTTTCTGTGATTCGATGTTTCGCCACATGGGGGCGGAGTGCGGGGCATGTGGGGCTGGCAGTACGCGCCGCAGGGCGTATGCGCTGATGGGCCGGTCACGTGACGCGCCTCCCCGCAGGTCACATGGCTGTGATAAATGTTGATCACAGAGGAGATACGGTACATTAAATGACATACGGTATGGGAATAGCCGGCAAAAAAACCTGCCCTGCAACGATTTTATCTATCACAAATTCTGCGTATTCTGCGTGATTTCTCGGAAGGGAATGATAATAGGACAAAATTCAGGGCCAAATGTTTAGTTAACGAAAAATGTCACTATCAATTGTTAGCGTTACAAAATATAATATTGTTTAAAATTTGTATTATTTTGATAATATTATACAAATTTTATTGCAAATAACTTATCCTTGCTCTAGATTATATTTAAAATTATATAAAGTATGATAATTTTGGGGTTAATGAAAGTGTTTTTTTAACAATATAAAATTAAAGTAAATAAATAATGTTCTAATTGCGATACGGGACGTTCTGGTATATATTCTGACATCTGACATTTTGAACACAAAGTATTATTGGTTTTATGAAGGAAAAGGAGACCTTTCTCTATTTTGCATTTTATTTTAAAAATTGACAAAAAATGGCGATGATAATTCGCCCGTAGGTCAGGGCTTACGATGCTCCTTTGGCGTTAAGCCATGTTCTCATTTTTGCATTTTCAATCTCTCTCACACTTTATTTACTATCACTTATCCGCTCGCCCTTCTCCTTATCACAATGGCTCTTCCCCTCCTCTCCCTCCTATCTATCTCATCTCCTGTTCTTTCCATCCCTATTGTTTTCGTTCTTGTCTTGTATGCCAGACTCTTGCTCTCCTTCTCCCATCCACACGAGCATACAAACATGCAGACATCTCGAGGCCTCCGCAGACGTGCGCCGTCTCTTCTGCCACCTCCAGCGCCGCGCCGTTGCCTCCCAGGGCGTCGCCGCCTCGTTCTCATTGTCGTCGCTTCGTGTTAGTGCGGAACAATCCTGGTTCCTTTGTGTATCCCGTCGCCATTTAACTGGAAATGCGTAGAACAGAGGGAATGTTAAACATCAGCGCTGTCTCCGCCGCTTCCCCGCCCCGCTCCACTCCGCACAGACACGCCCAACCCCGCCCTACACAGCCCCGTCCCGCCCCATACAGCCCCTTCCCGCCTCACACAGCACTGCACGCCCCATAAGCGCCTCCCCGCACAGCCTCGCCGCGACCTCCCCTCCCCACCACCCCTCCCTTTCCCATCACCCTTCCTCTACCCACCACCTCCCCACTCCTTCCCGCTCAGCACACCCGCGTGCAACAGCGTGGCGGCCGTCATAATCTATTCCCGCAAGGGGTTCTCGCTACTTGCGGTTTTTGTTTTGTGTTTTTTTAGAGGTTTTGTACAGCGTTTTGCAAAGGTAACAGCAATGTTAAAGGACATGTACACTTGGTGTTCACGTTCCCTCTCTAGACTGGCGAGGAGATGTATAAACATAATCTATTTAGGGATGCTTTGTAGCAAGAAGATTGAAATAATGGGGTTGGAATAATAATACGAACTGTGGTGTGAACAGACACCGTTTCCGGAGGTGAAGTTCATTCCCGTACTGGATCTCTGTGGAATTGTTTTGTCATGCATGGGATTATATGTGAAAATCCCTTGTGATACTAACAAATGTAGTTCTTTTATTATTCTACACGTGTCACATAATGCTCTCCACTTGTCATTCAAAAAGCTCTTCAATAAACACGCGTAAACGGTTTTGTGTCTAACGATATTTCATTCTCCCAATCATGATTTTTCGTGGTTCCGTTACCGTATCAAATTTTCAGTAATATATTGCCCAATCCAAAAGAGAATCATTAAATGTATTTTTAATGTAAATTGTAATTAATAATGTAATTTTTTATCATTTAAATTCAAAAACGAGTGTGAAACAAAAACGAATACATTAATTAACGACTAGTAATAAACTTTAATGTCATGATAGTTACAAAAATCATTCTGGAGTGTATTATTCTTAAGAATTAAAAATACACCCCAACACAATTGTAATGTTATGTAGAAGTATGGATACAACTTCGTGAGAAAGTGAATCACTGTTTCATATAATTATTCGTAGAACTTTTTACTAAAATTTATTGATTAAACGATTAATCGTCCATGTGTGCCATTTTTAAACTTTGTCCCTTCTAACAAAACTTGACTCTCGTATTTATCAATCCAATTGTCGTATATAGATTTTAGTTGCCATACAGTTCAATGCAAACTCATTAATTTGTTTCCATCCAATCGTAAATCCTGATAAGGAAAGCCAGACATATTCTCCATTGTGCACACATTGCCTCAACCAATAAACTATTGAGTCTATTTCCGGCCATCCTTCAAATCTTGCTTTCTTTACAAAAAAAAGTCCCGGAGGTCTCGGCATATGCACTGGAAAGAAGATGCGAATAATTAATATTTCCTTGCTATATACCACATTCTGTTGCGCACATTGCCTCAATGCTGAACGCGGGAAAATTATTGCTTTACAGCCTCGTGTGACCCATTAGTCAGTAACGTTGAGCTAAGTGATAAATTTTATACAATTTATCTTGTAAACGGCCCAAGGACGGACATTGTAACAGCTTAGCTGCAGAAACACAACGATGCCCTGCATGAGCTACGTGAATCTGGAGGATGAATTCCAGACTCTTTCTTGCACACACACATTACGAGGGATGTAAAATGAAAAATAGCTAAAACATTTTTCAATTCGTTCCGTAACAAAAGTATTCATTTTCGTTTTACTGGGTAACAAAATATTTCATTCCATAATAAAATGATAATAATTTTCATTTCGCTTATAACGATTCTGTTTCATTTTCATTTTATAAAGCAAAACCTTTTTTTCCAATTTCATTTTATATTCAAAAACAACGAAATAAAATTTTCGTTTCGTTTTGTTAGGAAAATGTAATTCTATGCCATTTCGTCCGCGTCGTTGCATTTCAAACCGTGCCTTGCATGCTCGGAAAATATTTCTTCTTCTCTTTTTTTATTTATTAATTTTTTTAAACATGTTTGACTATTGATGTCAGAGAGAAATGAGAAGTTTGAAAGCACTTCAAAAATGATTTGTTGCATAATATAGATTACTTTTGTGTATCAAAGTTCGTGTCATAATGTTTCATTCTTATTAGAGCATTTTAAATGTTTTGTACGGAGAATGAAGCTAAGAAGCAGTGGGGAATCTATCACTCCCGAAATTGCCAGTTTAAATACAATATCTCTCTGATGTATAAAGAACGATGATTCAGCGAACCGACTTCACCCTTCCACTCTCAAAATAGAGTTGAATTTTGTTCTTGTATACACTAGGGTCGCCCAATGCGTTCGTTTATTATTTTTTAATTTTTAATTTCTTCAAAGTGTATCTGAATTCTACGGTTTTATCAGAGCCAATTGTAGAAACATAATTGTTCCCGCTCGCCCCCCGCTCGCCCCCCGCCCCCCGTCGCCCCGCTGGCCCCCGCTCCCCCCGCTCGCCCCATCCGCTCGCCCCCGCTCCCCCCGCTTCGCCCAAACTTGCCTCTCCGTTCTACCCCGCTACCCCGCTCGACCTTCCGCCTTCTCCGTTCCCCCCACTCGCTGCTCCGCTCGCCCCCGCTCGTCCTGCTATACAGAAACGGTCCCCCCGACCTATGGGACTCCTCTACAACAGACGGCGCGTTGTTTCTAGGAAAACGATGAAACTTCACGAATCACACGCTCGGTTCGGAGGAGAAGCACCAGTTTCTGTCCTGCTGTTCCCAAATTCATTTTGAAGCCCGCTTCCGAAAATAAAAGAAGACCAGCTCAGTCTCTAATAACTTTCCATTCCCAACCGCCACATCTAATCCTCGGCTTTTACGCAGTCATTCGAAATCAGCGGCCACAGGTTTTCTTGTGCACGTTGTTCACTGCCAATGCGAGCGAACGGCGCGTTCGCGTGCTTTCCCACTATCGTTTGAGCGGGCGCACCGACGTCGTTCACGAACGCAGAAGCGTTTTTTTGTGGTTGTTTTTTTTTTGACCAATCGCGTCAGGTCAAGTGTAGGTCTGTTATTGCCTGCTTAATTAGGCTTCGTCGTCAGCTTGCTGCGAAATGGCATGGTGAGTCTGCGGTGCACGCGGATGAAGAAGCCGATAGCCCGAGTTTACCCCGGGGGGGGGAAGGAGGGCGGGCAGAAATCGCGTTAGTGAGGGCTGCGACGAGAGGCGGAAGTTGAAAGAATTATCAGTAATAAATTAGCGCCACCCACATCTATATCTTATTACCTACTAGCTGACCCGGCGAACTTTGTTCCGCTGTAATGCAATAAATAAGCAGTTTTTTAATTGGAAAAACATACAAAAAAAAATTAAATAACTACTTAAATCATTCATCAATTATTTCTGTAATTTATAACATAGGGTTGCTCTTCATTTAAGTCCCTTGTGATACACGACATTTTTTTTTTATTTCAGGCCGCAAAACAAACAACGCAGGAATGTCTTCCTGACCCGTTGAAATGACCAACGTATAATTGACCATGGGGAAAAACATGAATGTTCTAGATTTAAACCACAAACTTTTAAGGATTGCCTTGTATTTGTTGATGGTCAGGCAAATCAAGACTAACGGAAAGTATTGGAAGTCTTTTAATTCAAACGGACATATCGGTTGGATCATCGGTATGCCTGGAATGAGAACTTTCCTCACGCTTTGAATTTTCCTCATCATTATCGTAGCCGTAAATTAACATTGTTCATATCAGTTTTTCTAACACCCAACGCTACACGTTGCACAGTTTTCGAGTTGGTTTATGTTCGGAAGCATGACTTACTACGAGCCAGACCTTTAGGCGTTTAAATTCTGTGCGCAGGTAAGCCAAGGCACGTCCAAAGAGTTAAAATTCAATTGATGTTGGTGGCTTCAGCTTCATTGTTTGACGCAGTCAATACATTTAACTGAATGCATTTCCAATGATCTTATTTTGAAATTTATGTAATTTAGGTCATCTACATTTTTTTCTTTAAGACCGCAAAATTGCTTGCTCACTCAACCCTATGTCATTCTTTTGTATTAGAAATATTTTGGAAATACACTTGTTGATAAAGCGATCTTTTGATGAACAATTACAAGAAATTATTTGGAAATGATATTAATCCGCTTCGATTCATGACAGTACTTGACCATACCGATAGTCAGCAATTGCTGCGAGAAATCTTCAAGCAGATTATCATTAAGCAAGGTAACTCTCATGTATTGTTGTCAGTTGCAGTTTTCTCACATAGCGCCAATAGATATTGCATTTGAGGCAACTTTATTTCTCGGCAGCCGTCAGATTCTTGGAATTACTGGCCAGTATTGGCGGAAAATCGCAGACAAGTAAAATCATGCTCCTCCAAAAAACATCTCGAGTCATTGGTAATCTTTTAATTTGTTAATTGCTTGTAATGCACGTTTATGCTTTTTTTATATATTATTTATTTTTTTAATATTTTTCTTACAAATATCAAAATTGTCATCCTACGAATTACATATCTTGTCATATACGTCAATTACATACTTCATTTACGTTTTGTTATTCCAAGTCTATTCTTTTTTATTATACCACGTTTTATAGTGACTGACGTTTCATGTCAAGTCACACGGGAATGCTGGCGAACGGAATATAAAGTATTCTATGTCCTTCTCCTGGCTCTAAACTACCTCCCTGCCAAATTTCAGCTAAATAGGTTCAGCCGTTCTTAAGTTATAAGTGGAGTAACTAACACGACTTTCTTTTATATATATATATAGATTTACAATCCGCGCAGAAATTGATATAATATTATGCCGCCTCCGGCTGTGTTAATGGTTTCTATGGTGTCAGGCTCCCAGAAAGACACCCTCGCCAGAAAATAGTTGCTATTCACGTGTTGAGATAAGAAATATCAACTTTTGTAATATTTTTGGCATGTAAAGAACTGTTGTACATGTTCTGCTGATCTGTGTTATTACTGTATAGTTGGAGAATGTTTTTATTTTTTTGTTGCAGTGTCATACGACACGATATTTTTATTTGTTGTTATTGAACAACGTGCGTGTTACTTTCCGAAAGGTAATTTGTGTGGATTTGCTCTGTGGTATTTTTGCTTCGGTAGTCCATATGATACATGTATGGCAGATGCAGCAATACCGTTTTTTATCTTCGCTTTTCGTACTTCACAAATAAGCAGTTCTGTGGGCCATAAATACTGGGACTGATTGAAAAGTAGGGGAGGATGGGTAATTATTTTCTCTCTTGATAGCGTAGTACAAACTGTAAGTTTCTGCCATTTTTTTGTAGAATTGTATTTCAGATTCACTGATAAAGTGGAAATCAATTATCAACAGTCAAAAAAGACAATGTAGAATGGCCACAACTCTTATAATACATCTCAGAAGAAAAGTTAATTCATGGTAAAGATAATATATTTAACAAAATTAATGAACAGATAATGATGTTATAGATATCAAAGCAGCAAGAATTTCCCTTTCAAACAGTCGAAAAAACAATTCATTATATGCTGATGACGGGATATGTTAATTAAACTAATTGTGGCTGGAGAATTACCAGAAAATCTTTTATTAGAAAAATGTATATTTGCGCTGGTAGGTATTTCATGAGCCAATGCCGTGCTCTTCATTGAGAATGTCAAATATCGAAAAAATATGTACCAAATATGTTGTATAAAAAACGAAAATATAAGTACTATTCAATGGTACTGCAGTATTCGAGACAACTATTTGTTAAAATTCTTCATTTATTTCCGTGTTATACGAGAGTAATATTTGTTGAACTTCAACAGTGTGCATGCTATCTTTTTTGAAAACCAATTTTTGTAGAATTATTCAGCAACATTTTTTTCTGTTGCAATCCTCTAGTCACAAAATATTTTAATTTTTGTTTCTTCATTTAAATCAAAGTTCGGTTTGAGAGTTAACGTGTATGTGTTGTTTTGGTAATCATTGGATATTAAAAATAGTCAACTTATGCTCTGAAATATAGTGTACGTATGTGCTCATGTACTAGAAGTTCTGAGTAAGTTTCAATCTCACTAATATTTAATCATTCTAAAATTTCTTCCACGACAATATTTAGTGTACCACGAATGGATTAATATTAAATCCCGGGCTTCATTGTAAAAATATAATCATCATGCGGGTGAAATGAAAATGGTAGAAATTTTAAAATAATTATGAAAGTATCACTAATTGAAATTCCAGTGAGAAATAATTGGGGCGTATTAACGTTACACTCAAGGTTGTGATTTTGTCGCCAGCAGCATTTCAATATAATTTTGTATTTTTTTAAGATTCACTACTTTTTAACTCTTCATCGTCTAATGTGTTGTTTTTTTTCGTTTGGTATGATATTTTTTTAATCTATCCGTTTTTAATTGTTATTCAAAATTGTACTTATTGCAACTATGGCTTTTATATTGACACCAACATATTAGTTAGCCTTTGGGCAATACAATTTTCTCGCAGGCTCGCTTCAGCCTGTCATTACGAAATTTCCTGCGAGATTCTGCTATTCGTTTCGTTTCAGCTAAAACTTTTCTTTTGCTTTTTCTCGTAATCGAAAATCATACACATTTCACGGTGCGCGATTGGTTTTTAATTTTTTACCACAGTATCGGCAGGTTAAGTATAAGCGACTAAGACAGTTCTCTCGCCACGTGCTGTGATACGCCATGTGACCTGCGCAAGCAATCAGCTTGCGAGAATTTGTTTACTTTCTCACAGCCAGCGTTCAGCATTGCCGCTCATCTGATTCACACGAAGTCGGTGAGGCGATAAGCTTTGGCTTCGGCGAATATTATGAACATTATATCAAGACGCGTGATCGCCTGTCGGTAAAAGGTAATGTTTTGAGATTTCATTTATCTGTCATGTATGTCATGTACCATGAAAGTAGTAATGTGTGGCAACAGCGCATCGAACTCTCAGAGCCGCTTAAACACCGCCGTTACTATAGTCATTCTCCCTTCGAGGTAGGTTATAGCTCGTCCAAAGGGCGATAAATTGTATTTATTACGCATTTTATTTATTACGCTTCTCAAATATGTATCGCAGAGTTCATATTTCTGCTGGGACTCTTCGTCTCGTGAAAAATATTTTAGATGAATTTGGGCTTCGGAGAACCTAAAAAAATATTACAGTTATGACACGTCCTACAAAGATTAGAAAGACTCACCTGATAGTAACATTGACTTAACTGACTTTGATACTACGTAAATAAAATATGTTAAATGGTGTAAATGATACTTTTTCAGCTGGTTGTTTCGGTAATTTGTTAAGCGAACATTGTAAATTATACAATCGCGTTCTTTCACTTTGCGTAGTTTCAATATTACAATTCGTTTACTCTAATTATAAACGTTTTTAAATATTATACATTTTAGAGACGATGAGAAAGTAAATTTAAGACTATCAGAAACACTAAAAAAGATTCACTTATCATCACAGAAACTAGCTGAAAATACGTGGACAAAAAGCCGAGCTTGGGTGGAGTACATTTGTGTAGTTTTAGCCTTAAAAATCAATACTCGCTATAAAAATATAATTTTTAATGCAAAATAATAAAAAAATGGCATGTAAATAGTAATTTACGGAAAGAAAATTTAAATTGATGACACGTATTCTTGTAATTGCATTTTTCATCAAATCAGTACTAATGCACGGATAAATTATATCAAATAGAAACACAATTCTAAAGCACAGATGCGTTTTTATGGGTTTCAGGATCTTACTAGTCTCTCCACATCTCGGTGATTTTTCTTTCAACTCTCACGACATTCCCAAAGCCGGCCACGCACTTCTGCTCTTCTTGAAAGCTCTACGCACCATACAAGGGTTTGAGCTAGTTGAAATACAAATTTGCAAAATGTGAATTTATTAGTCTGTGCCAATAAAACTATTGAAACTATTCACAAATTGAGTGTACATAGTTTTTTGGAAGTATTTAGGCAACACAGTAAAAAAGTTCAAGCAATTGAGTAATTTGTAGTTTCTCTTATATATCTAATGAGTTTCCAACACAATGTGTTGTGACTCTTTAGTTTCAATTGCTCCTGATTGCTGAGTGAATTACCGAGTTGAAACTACCTCGATCTCGTGCATAATTGGAAGCTTTGTAGAAATTTAATGTTCTCATTTAACTTATTTACTATGAACATTGTCCGCAATATATTACATAATGAAACATCGGTAAAATATATTTTATTAAATGTATTATTTCGTTTGAAGGAAGAGTTTAGTTAAGTTAGTGTGTTCGTCAAAAGAGCATTTTTTTATTTGTTGCGTCTTAATTGACGCAACGCGCCTCCAAACCCGGGGGCATTGAGCGCTTTTCCCTTTCGGAGTAATCCTCCATTAATATCAGCGAGGGAGTAATTCTCCATTAATATTTCAATATGTCATACCCGTCAAGTCTCGTCGCAGTCAGTTGACATGATGACCACCAAATAGCATTTCCGCGTACGCGCCTCTGTGTCACAACTCAGCGGCCAGAATTGGGAAGGAATTAGGATTGGGGTAGGGTTTAGGACACTTCACTTCACAGTGAAGCATTCACTTTTTGTCGTATTAAATTTCACACAAGGTTCTACGGGAATTTTACGGGAATCGAACCCGGAACCTCAGTGGTGAAAGGCAAGTGACTTCGCCACTGAGTGAGAGCATTTCAGGAAAAATTGTAATTAAACTGAGACCATTTAGCGGAATGAGAGAATGCTATGGTATAACTAGAGTAAACCCGCCAACAATGATGGAAGTGACGGGGTAAAAATGATGGGGCAAAAATGACGGGACGAATTCCATTAATCTACAGTTTTCCGAAAACTTTTTCAAATTTTGTGAAGAGTCAACAATGACCTAACTTAGAGTTTTGTGATTTTATATCTTGCCATGCTCTATTACACTTTTATGTTAGTTCTCCAGTAGTTTACTTTTCAAAATGTTGTACTGAAAGTATGTCATACACTAACTTTATTATTTTTTAAAAGGACTGCAAGTCAACATAAAAAATTGAAGAGCTTGAGTGCCACAGGTTTTTTTATTATTATTGTAAACTTTCGTCTTGACACGTCACAAATTTACGAGAATCGCGAAACGAAATCAGTTTAGGGAATCCTTCTCGGTGACGCTGAATTTTGCGAATTTAATTTTCGTGACTATCCCAAACTCTTTCAAACTGCGAAACTAAATTGCGCGCCACGAAAACTGTCGAATTTTAGCACCACATTTTATAGCGACCTGGTAGGTTTGTAATATTTTGCTGCTTATGAGAACATCCCAACCGAAATTTTTTTTAGGCAGCATATCCTTTCACCAAAAATAATTATATGCAAAAGGAACAATAAACTTTCTGCTCCATTTGCACGAACTTTGCGATACAATCTTGGGTACACAGCAATTGTGATTAGAAATTCAGAGCTACAGAATGTATAATTTAAAGTTTTTTCTCAGTTACTTTATCTTTGAAATCAAAGATACAGTGACATTCACTACCACAATTTACTAAGGATCTTATTATGCACTTTGCTGAATGATTGACTAGTGCAATCATCTCTGCTGATTAAAGACTTTGAAAACCATATTCATGTGATCCTTTTAATTAAACAATTACATTACATACACAAACAATAATAAATGTTCGTGAATTTTAACGCACCATATTCTCATATCTTCATCGTTCACAACCATTTTTCATTACTTTCAAAAGTATTGGAGACTTCACTTCCTTTCTTGTGTCCTTTTATTTAAAATTAAACTAATAGTAAGAGTGAAGCGTGATCTCTTGAAATTACAACTGTAATATTGATCATGAGTTTATATTAATTCTTATTCGATTATGTACTGGCTTTAAAATCATTATTGTCATGCTACCACCCACTTCAAACTATCGATTGTAAAGTCATGTGGTTATGGCAGTGTATTTTAAAATGTGGAGTGAAATTGCGATAAGTGAGCTGTTTTTATTTTTGAGATGGTTATATCTGCAGCTTTGATCAAGACGTAATAAACGAGTACATCTGGAACGAAATTTTAATATACGAGAACACTTCTATGCCTTGATCTTTCCCTCGCTATAAATCAAGTGACTTCCTTTACTACCCGAAACACTCTTTACTATTAAACTCCCTTTACTACTAACACGAAGAGTATTATGCACTTTGCTGCATTATTACAAAGTTCGACCACCTGGAGAAATGAGAACTTGACCAACAATATGTGCGTGCTCAGAGCCTTGTAATTAAACGCGATTTGAATAAATGGTTGAATATGAATCTTAGAAAGCGGTTAGACTCTTAGGTATCGTACCATCAATGGTGACCTCATTTAGTACTGTCTCATACTAAGATTTTTCACTCTTCGTTAAGAAACTATTTTTATCTCGTATTTAAGTAAATGTGTGTGTTAATCACAAAATTATATTTGTTAGTAAACTGAGTGATGAATTACTATATTACATTGGGGAACTGATATGACGAAACTACAGCTGACATTTCCATTTCTTATGTAAAGAACATCATAAACCCCAATGTCCCAAACTGCTATACGAACACCATCATGACAGAACATCAGTTTGTGTCTGATTTTGATGGTAGACGACGCACATCAGCTTCATCGCCACAAATCACTAACGCGCTCCGCGCTATGCACTTTGTTGCATAATTGAGCGGAGCGGCCTGTAATTCCCGGGCGGGGCGGGCGGGTCCCGCTGCGCGCAGGGTCCTGCTGTGGCCGCGCGGCGCCGTGGTGAAGTCGGCCGCGTCCCTCGTGTAGTGTGACCTAGTGCAGTGCACCGGTGAATTGCTTCAGGAGTAGTGCAGGTGTCTTGGTGAAATGCCCTCAACTCATAATTAAGTGGACGTATCAACAAGCGTTGTAATGTCGCAAACTGGCCCGTAAATACAAGTTAATGCATAATGCTTGCAACTTCTAGTTGAAATAATAAATTTCTGAGTCCGAGGTGTTATGTTCTACGATAATTTGACAGGGCATATTGAACTCAATTTGCTATTTATGATACTTGTATCGTTAAATTTATTTGTCACATGGTATTTATGTTGTGTCATTGAGTTCAATATTTGTTAGGTTTTATGTGCCATGTATTAGGTAGTATGAGGTGTATAATGTGTTATATCGGAACTATCAATTTGGCACAATGTACATGCCAGTCTACTGTGTTCTTAACCCCCCCAATTAAGCATCTGAAAATAATCCCGTGGTATATATAGTGATATTGTACTCATTAACGAATGCTAACTCTTGTTTGTAAATCTAGAAAATCAGAGTACATAATACGACAGCCATCAAAAATATAGAACTTCTAAATCCAATTATATCACTAGAAACTGGATTTTATGTACTTTTTTTCTTATTTCCTTTTATTCTTTTTTTCTTTCTAGTCGCAATGCTCAATTTTCTCGTTTTGGCAAATCGTCGCCTACTTAACATAATATCCCCTTTTTTCATTACATATTTTTACATACTTTACTATTTTCACAATTGTTTAAAAATTATATTAAGTTTATTCAGTTTTATTCCATATGTTTGATAATAACAAGCATTTTTTAAATTAGAATTTTTTCTACATTATTGGTGAAGTGTAGATGTGAATAGTATCATTGACGCCACATTTTGTGACCTATAACCTTAATTTTCGAGAATAATTGGCGATTGTTGACGTGTAACACTTCAATGAGAATGCTACTTGCTGCAGTTATTGTTTGCTGGTGGTAGATATCGCCAGTTTGTTCGATAGCTTCTAATCTAGTTTGCTAGCTAGTCTGACTGCTAAACTACGGTCCTGGCAAACAATAGATGAAGCTTTTACTATTGAGAGGAAAGTTGTATGATGCAAAGTGTGCATGAACTAAAGCTCTCCAATTGGTTTTTAAACCGTTCGTATTAATTAAAAAAATATTTAGGACATTTTTCATAAATGTAGTTTCATATTCTGTAAAAGGACTTTTAATTAGAGTATTTTAATATTATATATTATATTCGATTTTATATATTTATTACATACTCTTACTGTTTTCATTACATATTCATGTACATATTTTGACGTTTTTTGGTAATTTATGTAATGTATGTATGTATGTATGTACTTGGCGTGAACACGCTTGCCGTGAACACGCTCAGGCCTATCGGCGACGAATTAATACTTCATGTTGTTCTTGCCTCTACGCCTCAGAATAAATAAAAAGGCAACTAAATGTCCCCGTGGCGTCTGCGCAGGGTCGTACGTGCTGCTGTGGCGACGCGGCGCCGCGGTGCTGACGGCCGCGTCGCTCATGGTGACGCGCGACGGCCGCTTCCGCCTGGTCGACGGCTACAACCTGGAGATCCGCGGCGTGCGCCCCACCGACGCCGGCGACTACGTGTGTCAGGTGTCGGAGGCCGACGGCCGCGACCAGATCCACACCGTCGAGATCCTCGGTGAGTCTACGCGCCCGCCGCCCCGGCACGGGGCGCAGCAGGTCGCTGCACTGAGGCCGCAGCAGTGCCTCTGACCGGGTGGCCCTAGGTTGCCACTCCCCACGGTGGCGGGCTTTTAGACACTAGCTTGTCAGCCATGGTTGGATTCAGTCGCTGTCTGGGGGAGAGTTGGCTGCTCTCTGATTGGTAGTTTTACCGTGGTTTCTAAGATCAGCGGTACCCTACCAAACGGGCCACGGACCGCGCACGATTCTTCCTACCTCTTCCTTGACCTATCCTCTCCCCTCACACACACACACACACACACACGAACACGCACTACACATGCCAGGAGATCAGTCGGGAGCTTAGAGCTTGTTCCTACTGGGGCCCCGCTGGTGGGAGATACCTGGATGGGAAAACCCCGCTAGCTTACGGTAGGTCGACGTCAGATCTCGCCATACAGCGAAAGGATTTTCACCACCACCTCCCGAGCAAAAACATGAACTACACTTACGGGACTAATGAACATGAGACGTGCCCAACATCACTAAAACAGTCAGTCAATCAATCAATTAACGCGCAATGAAGGGCGCCGCTTTGGTGGTAGGGACGCTCGGGGTACGTAAATTGCGGGCTTGCAGGTTTTCCTTGCGAGAGTTTAACCCATATGTAAATTGCGGTCCACCCTGAGACATACAGAAGGCTGGAGAGCCGTAGCTGCCTCGGCTCTAAGGGTCGTGGATTTCAATCCTGCCTCAGGCATGGATGTTTGTGCGAGTTCGTGCTGTCCTTATGTAATCTTCCTACAGTTCTCCCTACACCTAAAACAATAACAATGGTCTCTATGTGATCAAGTTGTTAAAAAGCGACGTTTAAAAATGCTACTTTGGTCACAGGTCCCGTGAGTGTAATACATGTCTTTCTCGGGAAACGCGAGATCCGGCGCCGATCTTCACAGCGGCAAGAGGGGATTTTCCCTTCAGATTTATTCAACATAGGAACTCCTCCACAGACGAAATACGCTCTTGACTGGTCCCCTGCATGTGAGTTAGAGTAGTGAATATAAATGTGAAGAGGATAGGACAAGGGAGAGGATGAAAGGTCACACGCGGACCGTGGTCCGTATTTTAGGGTACGATTTGGCATTCACCAGCATTTTTGGGATAAACGACGAAAAATTAACGATCAGAGCATCCGGCAGCTAGAATTCTTCTCCAGATAGCGGCTGAATTCGCTAGCAGCAACATACCTAGTGGCGAAACACCACTATGATCTACCGGTCAGGGAAACTGCAACGTCAACTGTTGTTACAGAACTATCTCAACCATTTACGACTTTGGAATTTCCTGTTAATTCGGTAGCGTGAAATGGAGAACCTTTAGTTCTAATGGTGGTCGAAGTTCTGCCTGAACTAAATACCTCTCTGACCAGACGCGTCCGTCGTTTCATTGTTCGAGCTCCAAGCAGATGCCTGATCTGAGCCCTAAACCAGGGCTGCTCAAATGCAAGGTTGGGGGACGTCCCCCCCGCAGTCACCCTCTGCGTGACACTTTCCTTTCACAAGACTAGAGTCGATCGCTCTAGGGCACCTGCTATATCCGTCGTACTCGCCGGGCCTTCTCAAGTAGAAGTGGGTCTCACCGGTTGCCCGCAGTTAAGCGCCGTCTTGGGCCACGCGAAGTCGAGCAGCCCTGCCTTCAACAAGGAGCCACAGACCTCGACGCAACTCTTTCTTTCCCGCACATTCCGCATGCTCATTTCATGAGCGATCTAAATAGTGTTCATCCTGCATAATGTGCGCCCTCCCATATTGGAGAAAATTTGCGCATTTCGTCGGATATCTGGGTTGCGATCATCAGCATGTCTCTGGAGACTCCTATGTGTATTATGATACAGAACTAGATGATATATAACATCATATGCTTTCTCGCATTATTTCTTACTTTTGCATTTTCCGAATATTCAAAGTTAAACGATATTGAGACCTACGCAATTTTTAGCGCTATTCAAGAGAAAAATTAAGACAACAATGTCGACCCATTTTTGAGTTTTTTGACAAATTGCATTAATCTCAAGAAAATAAAACAACAAACTACTTGTTTTTTTAATTGTGCATGGCCTTATTTAACAACCTAATTTTTAGCACAGGTTCCAGTAAAAAATCTATCATCAATATTGTACAAGGTTAATTTTTTGCAAATTTCTGAAGTACAAATTTCGCCGAAACTGAATCTTCTCCATTTTAAGTGTCCCTTGCTCAATTCGAAGGGTATGTTTAAAAAAAATTGAAGACGTTTTCCAGAAAATAGTCTGCATTTCACACAAAATTACGCGAAGACTTCTCGGTTTCCAAACAACGGTATTGATTTCATTTAAAGATCTGTTCTTCAGAAACTGACATCATTATTTAAAAAATGCTCTTTCCTTGATATTGCAGTTGTTGCCAAATGCCAAAAAAGTTAACTTTTGCTTCTTTATAAAACTCAGAAAGTTCAACTGTTCAAAGACGTGTTCGTTTTTTAAATGTTCTTTAAGCTATCTCAGGAACAATCGAAATTAAAAGTTTGAAATAATTTTGGAGAAAATTTCGAAAATGTTGGGACTTCATGTAATGTACTCCCCAAAATCAAAATATCAACATCAAGTGATCAAGGAATATAATTTTTGGAGAAAATCGTTTGAACAGTTTATCACTGACCACAGCAGACAGACGGACGGACTGACAGGTTTCCCGCCTATCTATTTTTCGGTAAAGACCTACAAAATATGGATCCTGACTATATTGCGGTGTTATGGGAATTACTTTATAACAAGAATAATAGGAATCCTTTTTTTCATAACAGGGACAAAATGATAATTGTTTCTGTAAGAAATATGCCGATTTTTACCGCAGCATCACAGTGATTTCTCTTTACTACGTAAGTAATTAGTAAGGCGGAAAAAGTAGCACAATCTGGTGAAGCATTAGCCTCTTACTACGGAACACGCCACTTCAATTCATTTCGCTAAAATAACCCAAGGAAATGAAGTATTGATGGAAACTGAAACAAAAAAATTAATATTTTAAATTTTGGATTTTCTTAACTTCTTTTACGGTCTTTCTTTTCTTTATATTCGCAAGCATAGGAATTAAATGCCGAGTTAACAAATATTGGAGTTAGTGACTATTTTTGCCACCGAGGCAGGCATTTGCAGACAATATCGGATCATTGCTTTAAAAAAGTGCATTTTGAATTAGTTTTGGTTTATTTTATTTTTATGAAATAACCTCTCAGACGCACTGTGGAGAATGGAAAGTTGTTTTAATCCACTGAGAAAAAGTAAATAACGAAAATACCAGCATAAATGACCTACGACCAATTGTAATTACTAATTTCTGGCACGTCGTTGCTCTAATCTCTTTGAAGACATGACACTTTTCAACATGTACAACAGTAATAATAATAATACTACTACTACTAATAATAATAATAAAATTAGTATTAATAATAGTAATTTATACTCGTAATATCACTAATAATAAAATTCCTTAACTAATTAAATTGAGATATTCAGGAGTCATCGCAATAATATTTCACATGCTGTGTCCATTAATTCAATGAGAATGTGACATTTATATACTCTGGTTCTGTGAAATAGTTTTTTTGTAACGTTACACGCTCATGTATAAATTACTGAAATACATTTTTTTGGGATTCATGGTTTACCGTGTGTCTTGCATTAGGGTGTTATGATAATAATTACATCATGTTGGTGTTAAGCAACAGAGATGATAATAATAACAAACGAGTATGATGATGGTGATAATTCTTACAAGACAAATCTTGTCAAGTGATGTTTAATCTCTTGAATGTACAGGTATGCAGGGGGACTGGGGTGGCTTTCATTTGCAGTTAATTCCGAAGGGCAGTGGGGGTGGAGGAGGGGTCCTACTCTGCCTGCGGAGTCGATTAACTGTCCATCACTGTTCCCTCCCCTCCACTGCCCACCCATCCCATCTCCCACGGGTGCTACCATGCGCCCACCCCCCGCCGCCCGCGCCGCCCGCCCGCCTCGCCGCCCCCCGCACCCGCCGCCGCCGCCTTGCCCGCTTCAGACTGCTCCTCCACTTACGCCCAAGTTTTAACTCGATCACCGCCTTAACTTTCCCCCTCTTCGCTGCCCTCGCTTTCCTCTGCACTTTGAAGCACGACTGCAGATTACTCGTAATCAGCAGGAGGACAGAGCCAAGCGGCTGTGGAGTGGTTACGTATTCACAATTACAGGAACGCTGCACATTAGACCGACGCATCATCGTGTGGGTGACGAGTGAATGAGGAAAGCAGTACGACTTTATCGATACGGGACATATCCTCCGGTGACTTGTCAATGATCTCCTGTTCTGTCAACGGTATTTGAAACGTGGACGTTTTGGTGTGAATTATTACATGCAAATACTTATCTAACAACGTCTTTATTACCGACCGACGTAATTGATGTGATGTCAATTCGAGTGAGCTTGCATCAAATAATATTCATTACACTTGAGGACAGTAATATTAGATTATAACTAATTTCCCATTCAGGTTTTAAACAACGAACCCGATCGTTTCATATTAACAACACTCTAAATAACCTTTCAAAATTAACATTTTTGTCTATACTATTCCCTTTCTTGCATCTCTTATATATTAAATTTTCAATTATTTCATTTACTGTTTTGCGGAACTGAAATTCACACTTCTATTTTCATTTTTGGTATTGGATTGTAATATTATTGTAGCCTCTAAAAAGCATTTCATGTTTAAATCTATCACGTCACTCAAACGTCGTCAACAGATTAAAATCGGCCTGTATTAATAATTCTCTTCGCTACAATACGTAACGGGTGCAATTCTATCTTTCCCATCTTGCCATACAATACTTTATCCTAACATACCCGGTGCTTCTTACTCAGTGCCCTGCAAAAGAATGTCTCTCAGTTGAATAACTGTTGGCTCTCATCGCTGCTTTCTAACTCTAAAAAAACTCTTGTAGCAACTCTGACATCTGCATTTGACTACGTTGTCTACTCTTTTCTCTCTCTCTTTCTCTCTCGCTTTTCTCTTCTCTTCTTTCTCTCTCTCCTCATCCTCCTCTGCTGCATCACCTCTCCTCCGGAAAACAGTGGCTCCTCCACTCCCGTCTCTCCCAATGCTCCTCCGTCCCTCTTAGCCTTCGCCCTCTGCCCCCTCCTCCGCTCGGCCTCCGCGCTCGGTCTGCCCTGGTTGTCTCTCCTCCTTCCTGCCTGCGTCCGTCTCTTTTCCCTGCTCCCTCTCTCTTCCTCCTCCTCTCTCTCTCCTCCTCTCTCCTCTCTCCTCTCGCCCTCTCCTCTCTCTCCTTTCCCTCTCGTCCTCTCTCCTCGCCTCTCTCTTCTTCCTCTCTCGCTGCTCCTCTCTCTCCTCCTACCTCTCTTTCTTCTCCCTCTCTCTCCTCCTCCTCTCTTTCCTCTCCTCTCTCTCCTCTTCCTTCTCTCCTCATACCACGCGTGCTTATAATCTTACCAGCATTTCCGCAATGGGCAACTCTACCTATAATTCTGTGATTGTCATTTCGCCCGGCATTACTTGTTTATGTTGCTTTAGCTATATGACTTCCCTATCAGCATTCTTCTTGTGTATATTTGTTAAAAAAGTTTCCATTTTCGTTTTTATTAGATACTGTTCTCCTCATTCTTTTTCTTATCGGTTTCTCAGTTTAAACGCTGTCTTCATTATAAATACGATCTTACTACTGTTAAGTTCGCTCTTGCTGTGTTGTGGTTTTATTTATTAGTGTTGCAATTTTTCTGTATCTTCTTAGCATGTTCTCTTCCTACTTTCTACCCTTTCGTTTGTCATCCGCTGATTATCCTTTGCCGTCTAAATTTCCCCCCACCGTTCACTCGCAAAGTGACCCAATTTTCCCATGCCTCGTTGGTATATCGCCCTCTTTTTATACCCCCCAGCCTTTCGTCTTCCAACGTGTCTGCCTCTCCGCTGTCCGCGCCCTACCCCAGGTGCCACCCACTCCCCTTCACACTCGCCTCCTGCCCCGACCCCCACCCCGTCCCCACTCTCCCTTTCCCCGTGCCTTTTGACCTTTCACCCCGGCGCCCCACACTCATCAACGGCATGCGTGTGAGTGGACAGCGCCGCAAGCTGCTTAAATCAACAAGTCGGGCTCTTGCACCAGCGTTGCCTCCCAAAAGTGTGTGTGTGCTGTGTGTGTGTGTGTGTGTGTGTGTGTGGGTGTGTGCGTGCGTGCGTGCGTATGTATATGGGGACTCCGTGAGGGGGCGGGGGCGTTTCATTCTCGCGCGCAGATGGAAATACGTCGCTCTTTCTGTGCTTCATAATAAAAACACGTTTCCTCCACTTCCAATGCCGTATATGGCTCAATTTCCACTTTCGTATTGGCTTTTGAATCTTCGCTGAAAAAACTTGTAATCCCATTAATCTTATGAGAGTCAGCAATTCCGTACTTGCAAGAATGCGAACTTCAAAAGAATATCGATTGACATAGAAGAAAAACCTTTTGCAAACAAGAATAATCATTAAACTTTAAATAGTAAATATGTTCTTCTTCATTCTTATTATTATTATTATTATTATTATTATTACTTTATTTACATTATAACACCACCAAAAATCAACAGTATTCACTCAGTCAGTAACAAGTTCCATCTTTCAATTTAGATTAAACCTACAGTAAGAACGTTCTTAACTCGCGAAGTCATTTTCAATTACGAGTAAATCAAGAACATTATAATACTTTAATTTTTAACGTCATAAAAATGGCTTCATCAAGAATTTATTCGATAAAAAAACTTGCATTAATTTAAAAAACGCCAATAAAATAACCAAGCACTGATTTCAAAAATATTCGTTTTGATGGCATTAGACAAAACATTTTTCCATGTAATTAATACTGTCGTAATTCAATTACGTACTCGAATAATTGAGCGCTGCCACAGTTACTATAATCATCACGTATAATACAGTCGCGTGGGAACGGACATACAAGCGGAGGAAGCTATAGAATCTCATTATTCATTAGGAACGACCGATGCTTGTCGTATAAGAAGGCAGCTCCTCGACAATATTGTGAGGTAACACTTCGGATGCAAAACCAAGTGCTCTGTTAATTCTCCCAATTCGGCCTTCTCTCACTCATTTATAAAAGCAAGCATAGTTCCAATGATAGTCCTGTCGTCTACGTACATCAGTTTACTTCCATTAATTCCAGCATATCAGCAGGGGAGTGGATCGATCATTTCAGAAACGAATCAACGGCTTTTTTTGTTCTGCCTAATATGCTCTCGGCGCGTCAACTTCACGCTATTGTGTGCCACGAGGCGTGTCGTGGCACGTCAGCGACACAGCGAATGAAGCATTTTTTTGTTTGGGTTCTGAATGTTTACTGTAGCTATCGGTAAATATGTTGCCTATTAGGATCTGGACATCCCCATACCCCGTTTAACCCCTCCCCCAAACAACATCCTTTATCGAACATTTCTGGGTAGTGACGTGGGGGGGGGCTCTTTAAAGTGGCATTTCCATCCTATGTTTAAAAGGATTTTTATGTCTAGTGCCCCCTTTTTAGAAGTCGAATAGCATTGGATTGCACGTCCCACATTGGTAGGCGAACGAAATACGTACCCCCACATTCCTTTCTTCATCGTGAAACAATTTGCGAAAAAGTTTCAAGCGGAGCAGACGACTCGTAAAAATAACCCCGATTAAAAATTTGCGTCAACGCGATTAAAACGTTACATGTTCTAGCATCCCTTTACGCGTCCTGAGGCTTGTACTGCCTGAAAAGAGCTGGGTGGGGGTGGAAGGCAAAAGAGGGGGGGGTCTGAGCCAGGGATACGAAGGCGGCGACTCCCGGCTAGAAGAGCATGATTAAATCACGCGCTCAGGTGGAGAAGTTTCGTCGACTCTCGAGACGGAGCAGGCGGGGCCGGGGGCGGGGGCGGGCGGAGGCGAGGAGCAGCGATGACGCGATATGACGGCGCTAGCCAGTCGCATAAATTATTCGCCGCGTTGCTATGGCGACGGCGCGCCGCTTGCCTCCAGCCGCCTTCGTCGCGGAAGCGGGCGATCATCGGCGGCAAAGCGCGGGAAAGCGGAAAAGCCGACGCTTCCACATTCCTTCAAATGAAGGACATAATTGAGGATAATATTAATTTATTACTACTACTACTATTATTATTATTATTATTATTATTATTATTGGTTTGAAAGTCTACATGAATCTCAATAACGCTTTGCAGAAGTCTGTTGTGATTGGAGGAACAAGAATGGTAGGAAAACTTGTAGAACAGTAGCTACGAATTCCAAACAAGTTGGGCTTTTGTAAATATAATTGTTGGGCAAATATAGCCTGTGTATTTGTCTTTATAATATAATAATAATAATAATACGATTATAATAGTGATAATAACTGTAATAATAAATAATAATAACAATAACAATCACAATAGTTAAAAATTCCTCATGACCCTATTCAAAAATCAACTGTTTACGTACCCACTTTGTCTCACGTACTGATTACGCAGTAGAGGTAGTGTTGCGTTGTACTGAGAAAATTGGCAATTTTCTGAAAGAAAAACTATTATTGACTGGTCCAAGAAACGAGAAAGTGTATCAATTTTGTTCCTGTATGTAGTAAATTACTTTCTCTAAGCCTTTGTATAATCGGAATCCATTTTTTTTTTGTGGGTCCTTGATAGCGAAATAAATCGATTGACGGCAATCTGTCCGTCTTTTTAGGGTCAACGCTCCAAACCGTTCAGCACATTATCTTCAAAAATGAAATTCTCCGATCGATATGAATGAACACAAGGCCCTGGAAGTTTGGAAAGGATATATGGATACTTAGGGTACCTAATACTAAACATCAACATTTTAAACATTTGCACGAAAATATGTCAATTTTTTAAAATTATTATTAAAATTATTACATACATTTAAAGAGAGTTATTTTTAAAATATCTTTATATTTCATTTCCTCGTTTCCACGTTTATTTCAGTCGTTTTCGCCGTTTAGTCATCTTTTGCGACTGGTGAAAAATTATTTTTATAAACATATATCGGTATAAACTATCGTCGTAATAATAATAATAATAATAATAATAATAATAATAAGAAGAAGAAGAAGAAGAAGAAGAAGAAGAAAAAGAATATAATAATTAAACAGTTACAAATAACAAAAATCTCAAAAATTTTTTTTTTGACCTTTATCTTGGATTGGCATCGAACACCACTTAGAAAAATGCCGCCGGTCTTATTTTCGTTGCAATTCCTGATTCTTCAAAAATTAAAAATTTTTTCGACGTCTACCTGCATCTACTATAATGATGATTGATGATTTTTGTACTTAATAAAATCTGTTATTTAAAGGCAGATTTTGAAAAAAGGTCATATTCAGTTTTTACTTACCGTTTTTACTTACAATTTTTGCAGTAGAAAGAAAATTAAGAAATGCTTCACGAAAAAATAGCGAATTTTCGGCAGAAAAACCCTTATTACAGGGCCCTGAAACGAAAAAGTTGATAAATCCAGTTATTTAATTTAAAAAAACCAACAAGTGATGAAGCCGGAATCTATGTTTTGTGGGACTTTGATATCGAAAAATCGAATGGCAGCAAAACGTGTGTCCCTCCGTCCGCCCATCTCTTAACAACGCTAGGCCGTTCAGATAATTTTCTCCGAAATTGATATTCCCTAATCAATATGACTGAAGTCGCGGCTCTTTTTATTTGAATTTTTTTCTAAATTTGAAATTGGGTTTATCCACTTTTTTGTTACCATGGCCATGAAATTGTTTTGCTGCCAAACATTCGCCGCTTTTTCCCGCAGCACGACATAACTTCCTCTTCTTAAGGGAGAGAAAGTAAAATTGAAGAACAAATTTGGACAGTTTTTCAGAAAATGTTTTTGTTATAATTTGCATTAAATCCAAGCAGAAATAACGGGAAAACTATCTGATTTCAAAAAATTGTACATGATGTTTTTGAAATATACCTATCTTCAATATTGTTATTATGCAAGGTTAATTTTTTGAAAGTTTCGAAATTTTAGAGATTTAGCTAAAAATGCACCAGTACAAATTTTGTACCGTCCTTTGCTACATACGCAGAAATTGTTTTTAACCGATCCATTTTTGAGACAATACGAGTAAATTGCTTATATTTCATGCAATATTACTTAAAAGGATCTCTTCGAAAAAGTATACGAGACATTACTTGAAGACCTGTCACTGGAAAACAAATTTCAGTTAGGAAAAAATCCCTACTTCATTAATGTAGTAGCAGAAATACGCAAAAAAATTGAACTAGTACGTTGTTTTTTCAAATCTCAGAAATACATAACTTTATCTATTCTACGTATATTACCCCGAATATACGTAAGTATGCGAGAAAGTAACAAAACACAATGAATGGATATAAACTGATAAATTTTATATAAAAGAATAAATTTAAAAAGTAAATCAGCGGTCGAACTGTTCATTAGCGATGTATCAAAGACGACAAAGAGAGTTAAAACAACATCAATGGCGACTGGAATAATAACTGAAGCAATGGTTAGAAAACCACTTAAATTGGACGGAAGAGAAGAAAATCAATTGCAATAACAAGCAGAGGAAGAGCTGACAGGCTCGGACGTAGGAATTCGTCTCTCTTTTCTTGTGCAGAGTCAAGTAATTAATGAACCAAATTAAATCTGAAGCCCTCCACTCTGATTTCAACATCTCTACCGAAGCACCATCGCCAATATCTGTGGCCTTCTTGCCGCCATCTTCAAGGCTGGCATTCCCCGAAAAGTAATACTGAAAGTGACATTTTAAACGAAATCATTTACTCTGTATTTTCCAACTTTCTACCAGTGACCATCGTACTGCTATGTTACAACTCCTAGACACGTATTAGCTTTTGTGTTTGGATAATTAGTGTTCAATGTTTCATGATTGTGTAACTAATAGTAATATTTTATGTTTACATTTTAGATAGTTTCGCAGTATTTTGCCGAGTTCTTTTCAAAAGTTCCATAGCTGCTAGAGCGAATGAAAACAATTGATGTTTATTAAATGGTCTGCGTTGATTTCGCTGATGGACGGATACGGTTTACAGAAGGTACCACAAATTTGCAATTATAACTTGTTAAATCTGTGTTTTGGGCGTCAAGAGCGAGTATCTGTATTTGCGTTTAGGAATGTACTCTTCTGTAATATTCGTAAAGACATTTCAGTCATAATATTAGGTGAACGAAAAATTAGTGTGACAAAATGTCGTTTTGAGGCAGTTAAGTAGCTTGCAAGAAGATGAGGAAATACTGGAAAACTAGTAGAAACCAAAAAGATTAGAACTGTAACTAATACGAGAAATTCTGTGTCATTCTGATTCACCAGTAATTTTTTTCATGGATGGAACAAAGAACATTTAAAAAATGGCGTAGGTCTGTTTTTCGTTTAACTCTATAAATTTTCGAAAATTTCAAAATGTAGGAAAAATATGCGAAAAAAGTAGGTGCTGTTTCAGGACCACTAGTTCTGTTACTGTTCAATCAACGAGCCAGTATCGCAACAGCGTGGCAGTTTTCACCGTTTCCAAGAAGGCTTGTCCTCGCTCCGCTGGAGGTTGCACCTAGGCCGTCAATCTCTCCTCTCCTCACCTCACCTCAGCTCCTGCCTTCGCCCGCTCTCCTTCCGGCGCGAGTTCTCGCTCTCCATCGAAGTTGGGCTCTTGGAGAGCGCTCACCGGGCGGCCGACGCAAGTTTGCGTTCGGGAGGCCGGCATCAACCGGCGCGCGGACGGCGACGCTGCGGGCGGCGAATGTGGAGCAGCGAGGCGCGGACGCGGGCAGCAGTAGTAACGACGTAACGGCGGCGACGACGGCGACAATAGGCGTGGCGAAGGGGGACGAATGGCGGCAGACGAGCGCCGGCGGACGGGGCGAGGCGGAGTAGGACGAGTGAACGCGGGCGAGGCACGGGCGGACGAGGGTAGCGACGGGACGAGTGGCGGGGCAAGAGCGAGCGGCGCGCGGACGGGGGGCAAGTGGGCGAGGCCGGGGGCGAGCGGGTGGGCGATCGCGGGCAGAGACGAGTGGGGCTGGGCCGCTAAGGCAGGGCCAACGCTTGAAAGCGGGGGGCCGCAGGGATGTCTAGCGTGGGTTCCAGGAGGAGATCGGGAGCATTTTACCGAAGAGAGAACATTTGCCTTCTGTTTGATTTTCTTGGCTTAAGGCGTTGTGGAAAAGGTGCCCAGAGGATTTTGTTGACCTCGTTATTTTGTGGAAACTCGCGGATAACAAGCACTTAACTTCCGGGTTCTGTTACCTGTCCGGCCACGATCGGCTTCGGGCAGCGCGCGAGAGTGAAATTGACATTTCCGAAGGGTTTTGGAAGAAACGTCATTATCAAATAATTGCATTTTTTACATTGAATTTTCCCTTCTGGATTCTACACTATTACAAACTGTATTGTAAATGTGTTTGAACTAAACCCAGTGATCGACTACTTATTAACTTTTCCCCCATTTTTGAACCACACTGAGTGGGTGTTTTGATTGGAAGTAAAAATTAATGTACTTTGTTTTTTTTAATACAATTTTCCCAGGCACTATATGAACCTTTGTTTACACTTGTTTTCATATAATTAGCATTTTCATTTCTCCACGCGCAATTATTGGGTGATTTTTATCTTTCGTATGTACACCGTTCGTCGTTTTCGATACATTGTTACGAGCTTCACGTATTTTGTTTTCAATGAGTAGTGACAAGGTGTAGTTTATGCCAGTATGGTAATTTTAATTGACGCGCCAAAACCAAACAAAAATACGAGTGTTTGTATATGCTTTTAAGTGAAATGTTTTAGTCATGTCTACACTTTCACACCAATAAATTAACACAAAGATAGTTGGTTCATTGTGATCTTTTCACGAGATGTACATTACCAATCGGTAAAAACACATCCATTTAAAATAATAATCACAATAAAAATTATATTGTTGTAACACTGGTTTCATGAAAAATTTAGTTCACAACATTTGGAAAGTGGTTTTGCGACCCATCGTAGTTCAAATTTTATATTTGAATCATGGGTCTGTCCGTTGGTACACTTTTCCGTTATTGAAAAGTAATGAATCCTATTGAGAATATTGCTTCGTGACAAAGAAGACCTGCCGGTCCGGATGGCAGTAGTGCCCTAGCGATCTCGGATCAAAGGATCGCGGGTTCGAGTGCCGCCCCGGCTATGGTTGTATTGTGATCGTCCTTTCACCCCCTATCATCATCACATCGTGTCATCCTCACAATTACCATTCCGTTACAAGCAATAGTGGTCGCTAATGACCTAGTAGTTGATGCGACCTTAAATAACGAAAAACGACGATCTGGTAGGTAAAATAAAGCGGTATAACGTAATCATTGTGTAATAAGTAGAGAAAACAGCTAATTTTAAAATTTGTAAAAATATTCACTAAAATTTGGAGAGGATTACTGGATGGATGCTCTGGCCGGTAGTTTCTTCGGTCATTTGGAAGCGAATGTCAGAGCTCTTTCTTAACAAAGAGGCCACAGATCGCGTGCGCCGGGAACCGCGCCCTTTGTCAAACATCCTTTCCTCGTCTCTCTCTCCCTCTCATAAACACACAGTTAAATCCAGTACTATACCATCACACTTGTCGGGAGACCAGTCTGGAATTTATAGATTGTCCGGCTGGGGCGGTGTCTTACTGGCTGAGATACCTGCAGGGGGGAAACCCCGCAAGAGGACTTTTAGTCCGGCGCCTTCTCCTGGTATCCGCCAGCAAGGCCCCGCCCCAGCCGGACTAAGCTGTAAGCTCCCCACATGTGTGGTTGTCTAATGCATGTAAGCGTATGTGTGGGGACAAGGATGAGGAAGGAAAGATCGCATGCGTTGGGCCGTTTGTCAGGGTTCTGCACCGGCATTCACTTGGACTTGACCTGAGAAGAAACGAAAAACTACTGATCAGAGCAGCTAGCCGCTAGATTTCTCCTCCAGGCTGCGTCTGAATTCGACCTAGCTATTTAGCTAGTGTCGGAAATTCTGCCACCGCTGGGACATGAACGCTAGGACTTCCCGATGAGAGTGGTTGCAGTGACAACCAGTACTGGCCTGAGCCAATCAGCATGGCATTGGGCTTCTTTCATTATCGCTACTGCTTACGCAGTAGAAAGAAATTTCTGTAATGCTGCGCGAAAGAACCACCAATTTTAGGCAAAAATACTTTTAATACAAAACTCTGGTAACGAAAAAGTGTACAGATTCTGTTGCTAATTTTGGAAAAAAATTCTCTAACACGTAGTGTAGCCAGAATTCATGTTTTAGGGTCCCTTAATATCGAAAAATTGAATGACGGCAAAACGTCTGTCTGTCCGTCTCTCCACCTTTTCATCTGTGCGGCTAAAACATTCTGCCAATATTCTCTAGAACTGATATTCTGCAATCGATCTGGAATTTGACGCCGAATTTTTAATTTTGGCACACGAAGGCCTTGAAACATGTTCCTAATTTAAAAAATGGCTCAAACGTTTTTGATTTAATTTTGGATACTGCGAAGGATGTTTAAGTGAATGATGCAGGTCTCATGTTCGTTAAAACACCTGATTTTTCGAAAATTGCAAAAATTCAACATTTTTTCGGCGTCTTCCTACAATTAAAATATTAAAGAGAGACATTACGCCTTTAATAAAATGTGTTCCTTGCGGATAAATTTTGAAAACGTTCATGCACAATTTTTCGAAAATTTGAGTATTTTTCCCCTGATTTTGATTATATAAGCAATTTTTAGTTTGTTTAAACAATTTTTCACTCAAACACGGCTTCGTCGTTTTAATGAAATTTTGTTTTTGGATAGTCTGAGGACATTCAACAGAATGGTGCAGTTCTCATGATGGTAAAAAAAATTTTTAAAATCTTAACTTTTTTCGAAATCGAAATAGTAGATTTTTCGAAAATTTGAATTTTACAAAAAATGATGTATGAGATGTGTTAATTCGGAGAGAAAGTTTGGTGTAAGTGGTATTACGTAAGCGTAACTCAGGGATAGAATGTGTGTGCTAACCACTAGTTTCCTCGTTATCCTCATGTGTGTGTGCGTGCGTGTGTTTGGCAGTGCCGCCGAGCATCCGCGTGTCGCCGGGCGGCGGGCGGCTGCAGGCGCGCAAGGGCGCGTCCGTCACGCTGGAGTGCAAGGCGGCGGGCAACCCGGTGCCGGCCGTGGTGTGGACGCGCGCCGACGCCGCGCTGCCGTCGGGCGAACCGGCGCTCGAGGGCTTCAGCCTGACGCTGGAGCGCGTGGACCGGCACCAGGCCGGCCTCTACCGCTGCACGGCCAGCAACGGCGTCGGCAGCCCCGCCCACCTCGACGTGCGCCTCGACGTGCTCTGTGAGTACCCACCACTTGCTTCGCTTGCGATGGCCGTGGCCTGAGCCGCGCCATTTCATTGTCATCAGTGGCGCAACAAGGTTTTCTCGCTGGGCGAGCTATGGGCGGAGCGTCGTTCTTTGTAAAGAAGGTTTTTTGATTCTGAATTGAAATTTAGAATAGGTTTTTTTCGTTTATTTATACTTTCAGCGCATTTAATTAAGGTACTGAATGACTTTCTTTACCACAAGATTAAGAAAACTATTTGTGAATAAGTTTCATTGAGTTATCAAGCTCCTTGAGCTCATCCCCATTGGTTGCGCTACTGATCATCATCCTCAAACATATTGTTGTTGATATTATTATTATTATTATTATTATTATTATTATTATTATTGGTGTGTTGTTATTTGCATGATCAATATTGCCCAGAAAGATCGAGGGAAAACACTATCTAGTTTTTGAAAGAAACAAGTCATTTCTCTCACGAAGTATAATCTTTTTTTTTTTTTTCATGAACGAAATTCTCCTACTGCAAATCATTATTTGTTTCATGTTTAAACTCTCTGCAGCATTGTTTGCCATAGTCGTGTAAACATATTTAAACGCTAATATCACGTGCATTTTTCTCGCTGACGTCACGTTTTTCGGATTTCTTTAGAAATCACTAATTCACCAACACGTAGCGGAACTATAAAATAACTCATTAATATACGATGAACTATTTTTTTTATTTGTTTTAAATAATTCAGAAAACGATCTTTGACGAATGTATTTTTACGAAATATTGACGGCCGACGCGCCGACGTTAGGAGCAGTGTAATTGAATGTACGCCAAATACACTTTATACTAGTTGCATACATTAGTTTTGAGAAACAATTCATGGATTGTTACAAGTACAATAATCTTGGAACCATTAAAAATATTCGAAATGCATACCCACGTTGATTGATATCGCTCCAATAATTCTTTTACTTTAGAGTACAAAGCGATTTACTTAATTTGCGGTCTCCGTCCTGAAAACTGGTTTGCCGTAAGCAAATTGCAATGAGCAAGGTTCCAATCAATAAGCAGTAAATGAAAGTATTAGTTTCTATTCTTGCGGGGTGTAGTGGACATTCGAAGGAACTTAAAATGCTAGTGGTATATATTAACACAAGCTGGTCAACAGTGGTCAATCACAATTTGTATTGAAGTTTTAGCGCCTACTTAAACACTACATTAACAGTAGTCTCCTCGGCTAGTGAGAACACAATTTTTTATTATTTCTGGATATTTCACACGGGTCATTGACATTTGAAACTGATTGTTTTTGTAGTAGAATGGTTATAAATAATAATACAAAATGACCCAACGTACAATGAATATGCATTAAATGTAGGTGTCTTTGTATTGGCGTGTAATTTGACACCTACGGGGCAGGTCGCTTCGTTCCTGTAGCGGTACCATTTTTTAATTTATTTATTTACTTCCTGTTCGGCAGTTGTACTATTCAGTGGTTTACATTTCTACTGCTTTTACACATAAGGTAAGCTATAACTCTTGCACATATTAACTACTAGCTAATTTACAACAGTTCATGTATATTTAGCTTATTATTCAAATATAAATAACAGATTTCTCCAATTTTTATACAATACACTTCCATACCTTATTCATTCTTACAACCAATGCTCTACGTACGTGCATTGAGAAATTACATTTACGTTCTTGGGTTGAAATTTACAAATTTAAACAGACATTATTTCAGTTATCGCTTATTGTCGTGGGAGTCTTAGCGTGTCTTTCGGGCGCCGGCAACGGGGCGCTTGAAGCGGTCGTTCAGTTTTCTTCACGATTCCCTTAACGTTGCACTATGCAAACAGATCCTCGCCGGGGAGAATTTCTTTAACTATTTTCATGCAAATTATCGTGTATTAACACAACTTGTACAATAGTGTAACCGTCTGACCCGTTCCATTAACCTCGCGCGTCCTCGTGCTGTACAGTCGCGGTCATGCGACGCCAAGCGGACCGACGGAGAAAGACGCGAAAAACAGCGACCTAATGCCACGAAATGCAGTAGGGCCTTGAGGCGCAGAGTTAGAAAACTCGCAGTCTCGTGGCCTACCTTTAAACACTGCCTCATTGGTCGTGAGTCGAGTTGCAGGCGCTTTTACTTTAACCGATGACTGCACCAAATAAAAGTCTAGGTACACACGAGGTCACCCCAAGGTGGCGTGCATCAATTACCTGTACTTACCTGGATAAACACTAACAACTTTTTATTCGCTATATGAATGTAAGAAAGTTATTCTTTAGTTCAAACCTATTGTCGCAAGACTACCTCTACCGGGCAGGCTGTCGAGAAAATTGGGTCGAGGTCACCGCGGAAACTATTTCCTCCCCCACTTTCTCTCGCTACTTTGATGCGCCCTCTCCGGTCTGCGTATGTTCCCACAATTCTCTGCTAGTCGATGGGCGTTCGGTGACTCATAGCCCTTCGCTCGGCGCAAATCCAAATGCGCGTTCGGGATTAATGTGAGACGTACCAGCCTAAGATGGTCATGATATATTAACGTTTTGTAATTAATTTCTTATTCACATTTGCTACAGATGAAAAATATAATTCCATCTAAAAATCGAAGTTTCCTACATTTTCTCTGCATATATAAATAATACGAACAATTATTGTCAGGTGACGTACTGTTTGCCCTTTGCTATTATTGAATGCAGTCCATATTTTGAGATCATGTAACATTTATAAATTATATGTGATGATGAAACATGAGTACAACCAATGTAATTGTTCTTTGTTAATGTCACTCTTCTTCGTACTTTTCGTTTTATTATGAAACAGCATCGATACGCTTTTCAACCTTTGTCTTACCAACGTACATCACATCAGTGTTTTCAATTACTTAACTGCTCGTGTAAAAGACATACAATGAAAATTCCCAACATGCAACGTATCCACATGGACAGCGAATACCGTGCTAATCAAATTAAGTGTGTTCGGTATATTTCGAGACCTAGGTAGAAGGTAAGACTGGCTGCTCTCATCAAGCTGCGTGAAATCCGCAGTCACGTGATGCGAACACCGCGTCGCATCCTACTGCAGCTTAATTGCGCCATTTCTTGCCATTTCACTGGAACCCGCGGTGAGTATTATGCGTCACCGGCAAAGAACACATATCATTTGGCTTTGATAGCACTGTCACTCGACACCTGTAGTGATTCCGCTAAACATCTGTGACTTTTGCACAGGTGTCTTTCCGAATAGTTCATGTGACAACTTTCACATACGCATCCAATCAGATTGATTACTTCATTCTGGAAGTAGAGGAGAGCAGCATCAACAGCACCGTTTTCATTTTGACATGCTATTTTCTCTGCTTCTTCTCCTCTTTGTCGTTTTCAGTGTTAGTAGTTATTTGGTTGTTCGTGTCACAGTCGTTCTTTTGTAACTCCTCAATAAGCAGCCTGCCAATGTACACTGCATGAGAGAGTATGCCTCTAATCATGAAAAGCGACTGTGTCTTTGATATCAGAAGGAAATTAGCTAGCTTTGGGAAAGTGCAAAGGCTTTCGATAGAAGATTCTTGTATTAGACTCAATGCAAAAGAAATCAGAAATTTCCCAGTGAACAAGGCTACTTCGTATTTGTTATTGAATTAAAATCTGTTTCAGATAATGTATCGGCTTTCAAAAACGTGGGAAAGTGTGATATTTATTGGGAATTTGCAAAATACAAATAACATCATTCCACAACTCATTAGTTCTAGGAGAATGGCGAAAACCTGTCATTTTTCGTGAAGCGA